TATGACTCGAAGTTCGAAGCGAACTTTTTGTGTGAATGTAAAAGCATATCAGACTTACGCGCTGAAGAAGAGATTCGAAGAGGTGAATACTTATACGAGATGTTTGTCTCTTAACTAAAATAGGCCAAATGAGGTAGTTAAACACAGCACATATAAACTCGATGACACCAATAACTATATTAACATAGAAAGAAAACAATTCCATTATTTTTTAATACTCAAATCATTACAATCATTAGACTTGCCTAGTAACCACCGCACTAGGTACATAACCTTTGTTCGAAATGAAAGCGTCGATGAAGCTAAAGTTGATGAAGAAATGCCATCACTATTATGGCACAGTCTAGAATGAAAAAATAGCGAAGAAAAATTAAAAAAATACACCTAATAAAGACAATCATTTGTATTGAATTACTTATGCATTTGAACATAGTTGAATGAATTGAGTTCAATACCCAGAGGACATATGTAGTTGCTCGCATTAGAAATAATTGAATTTTGATGTTGATAATGACAACCACCTGCAAATGATTTGATCGCAAACAATCCTGCAAGTCGACCGAAAAAGACAAGGTTGGCCATAACACAAAGAGTTTGCAACAATATTAGGCACATAGTAATAAACATAAAAAAAAGATCGATGCGATCAGCAAAACGAAACTACAACCAAATTACACAGATCAATCAATATGTATTCTGTTTGAAGATAAACTTACTAAATCGAAAACACCAATTGATGCTTTGTTGTCACTATCTTCAGTATCATCATCTAGTTTTCTGTATTGATCATTAGCCTCTTTATTACCAAAACATCGACCCCAGTCAGAAAAACTATAAAAATAACAAGTTTGTTTCATATTATTCGAAACTTCTATCCATTTAAAAATATAATGTGCTCCACTGTTTTTTTAAATAACTCTTGATCGTTCAAAGATATCGATGTCGAATTTTTGCCATTAGATACAGCAAGCTGAGGGATGTCTATCTATGTAAGATTCATTAGGGTCGAAGGAGTTTTTCATGGTTGTTATCAAATTGATATTTTATTTGTTGTCGTTTTTCGTTAGTTTTTACAGCGACTTAGACTCAAACTATACGAAAAAGTCGCCTGATAAGTCATATATGAATCATGAAAATTTTTAGATATCTGCTTCGTTTTATCGAATCTATCCTTCATATAAACAATATAAAAATCCGAAAATTTTATTATGAACATAGGACTTTTCGGGCTATTTTTTGATACAGTTTGCCTCTAAGTTGCTGTAAAAACTAACGAAAAACGACGAAAAAATAAAATATCAATTTGATAACAACCACGAAAAACTACTTCGACTCTAATGAATCTTACGTAGATAAATATCCCTCAGCTTGCTCTATGTAATGGCAAAAATCCGACATCGATATCTTTGAACGATCAAGAGTTATTTAAAAAAATAGTGGAGCACATTATATTTTTAAACGGACAATACTTATTCGTTTTTATCATACATGCTACTCGGAAGTTGTTTATTGTTCTGATTATTACCACCATCATCGTTCCCAGATAGTTTGCTGAATTTCTTCAACAAAGGTTCTTTATCACTCATGTGATTATTTTTCAAGTATAGAGTTATGAAAAATACCAAACACAAGTATATGCACGTACTATTAAAGCAAAGTAGTTCGATGGTGGTTGCTTGATAGATTATGTATTTTCATCATACTTTGTGTGTAATTTGGCAGAAAAGAAAAAAATGATCCGATTCAAGTCATTCACTCGAGCACTAGAAATTCTACTGTATACGAGACGAAATTTCTATTTATTCATTTGATGCAGGAATGATTAGTGATGCGCCGTAAGCTCCAAGATGGATTATACTTTCATTTTCATTTCGTCGTTAGTCGTGACAGAACAGAAAAGAATCAAGTGGTGATATGGACGAAATGAGCATAAAGGGAACCGAACGAATGAAAAAAAAGGATTATAATTGGTGATATAATGAGCATAAGACGTTTCTTAAGGGTTATGATTCATATTAAACGTAAGGACAAAATGAAATAAACGACTATAAAATATAGATTAAGGGTGTGAGTATAGGTATGTGGATGATGATTTTCTTTACAGCCACAGCCATAGACATCCACATACACACCCATC